ATGTAACGTTAACACTTAGGAGAGAAATATGTCCACCGGTAAGGCTAAACTGCAAAGTTATCCGTCAAGATAATACGCTACTTGGGCATGCACCTACACAGGAAACTTACATGGCAAAAACAGATTTGGACAAAGCGCAAACGACTAGATGGAAAACTGCGGTCACTGTACTGGTTATTGGGACGCCTCTTCTTCTTCCTAGTCATCCACTCTTGACAAAGTGGTCGGTCATGTCTCGGTCGATTCCTGTGCCACTGATGCAATCGCAATGCGTAGTCATGCAGCTCGATGTTTTGCAGAGCGAGAACAATCATTTACGCTAGAGTGCATCGCCGATTTAATAAGGTCTGTCCACCTTGTTGATGAACGCCCGCGAGACATTTTGCCCTCAACTCTCCCTTGCACCACCAACTGTTCCATGGAGTTCTCATTGCGAGTAATATGCCCGAAAAATTTGAGGATTCGTATCTGCACAGTCGATAATCTCTCTTTGATTTTGAGTTCCCTCAGGATTGAAACATTGGTACGGTGCGCGGTCCACGGAATGCGTAGCAAACGGTTGTAACACCACATTTCCAGAGCGTCAATCTTGCGACGGTCTTTCGTTTTGAGTGTCCACGTTTCAGCTCCATATAGAAAGATTGGAAAAACCAAGGATCTCATTAGCCGAACTTTGTGTTTTTGGTTATCCAAATCTTTGTGAGTTTTTCCACTGAGGATCATCATGGCGCAACGTCTTCGAATTTCATCCTCGCAGTCCCCATCGTTGGTAATAGTGGAACCCAGATATATGTAGCTGTTGACAGCCTCGCAACCCGCTATACTCTGGACGTCCGGTTGGTTATAGTTAGCCCGATTCACAATCATTATTTTGGTCTTATCCAGATTGATTGCAAGTTCAAATTCCAACGCTGTCGTCTCTAGTCGATGAAGAAGCAATTCGATATCCTCCCTGTTTGACGCTAGGAGGGTAGTATCGTCGGCGTGTCTTAAGTTAGACACTTTTCTGGCTCCTACGGATATTCCTTCACCCCAATCTTCAAGAACAATCCGCATTATATACTCTGTGTTTGGGCATAGAATTGGAGTCTTCTTCAATAAAAACTCGGTGTTTTTAGTAATTTCGCTTTATGTTATAATAGATACAATTTAGAAGTAACAGTTTTCTTGAGAGAATGAATTTAGCAAGTCATTACATTATAGTCGGTAAAAACAGCCGAACACACGAACACGAGCGACATCTGCCATCTGCGGGCGACATCCAATGACGTTTGTGCTGAGCGCTCCAGTGTACAATCCAATAGATGGCGCCACCCGTTATATAAGTGCAAGTCTTAGCTATGATTTGTAATATTTCTTTTCTTTTATATGTATGTATATGTGGGGTTTATACGGGCGCGAACATACTCCCCCCCGTTTAAGAGCCAAGTTCTTCAACCCTTGAATTCAACAGCAGCGGGAAGTCGGCAGAGTCGAACCAACGGGCGACGTAATAAACATCCTTTAGTGGTATGAATATCAGCGACTCTAGAAATCCCATCTGATCCAGGATACAATCGCGTAACTCTACCCATCCTCCAATTTAGCGGGGGATTATTATCTTCGTGAATCAGTACTAAATCTCCAACATTAAGCGTCGCCCTTGTTGTCTTCCACTTTGTTCGTTGTTGCAATTCGGTTATGTACTCCTTCTGCCATCTTCTCCAAAAATGCTGACGTATCTGCTCCAAGCGGGCGAAGCGGCTTAAAGATGTCTCCTTCAGGTCCTCCAAGTGCGGCTGATGGTAAAGCATTCATAGGTCTTCCAATCAAAAAGTGCCCGGGGGATAAGGAAAGTAAGTCATTTGGAGAGGAAGACATGGGACAAAGGGGACGGCTGTTTAAAATTGCTTCTACTTGTGCTAATAATGTACTAAATTCTTCGAAAGTAAGATGCGTATTTCCCATTACACTTTTTTAATATGATACTTTGAGGATTTCACACATGCTTCCCACATTCCGCCAAAATGGGGAGTGTAAGCCGGAATAAAATTAAACTTTATTTCCTCCTGAGCTGCAAACTCGGATAGACGTTTATTATTTTGTTATAAAAAAGTAGACAATTCTTTGGCTGCTGCCACAAAATTTCGACCGTTGTCTGAATATACCTCCGCTGGCTTACCACGACGCGCTACAAATCTACGGAAGATCATTATGTAAGATTCCATTGATAAATCTGACACTGCCTCCAAATGTATACATTTGAATCGCAAACATATAAAAATGCATAAATAACACTTTGTTGCTTTAGCGCCTCGACCCTTTCTCTTTAGGATAAGAAAAGGACCAGCATAATCTACGCCAATGGTCCTAAATGGAAAATCAACTGATACGCGATATGCAGGTAAATCGCCCATTCTGGTTAAAAGTGTTTGGCCGCGCATACGACTGCAAACAAGACAATCCCTTACGACACTTCTAGCGAGCCTCCTGCCGTTAATAGGCCAAACGGTTTCTCTCAGGGTAGCCAGTAGAAGCTGTGGACCAGCATGCAGATTTTTGATGTGTTCACGTTCAAACAGTAACCTTGTCGAACGATGCGAGGAGTCAATTAATATGGGATGCTTCTTTTCAAATGGGTAGTTGGAGGAACCAAGTCGGCCACCAACACGCATTACAAACTGCTCATCCAAAAATGGTGATAGAGACGAAATTTTCGATTTACTGCTCAACGCAACGCCCTTCAAAAGTTTCTCGTACTCTGCCTTAAAACACAACGTTTGATTAATTTTGCAAATTAAAATAAATGAGTTTTGCAGCTCTTCGGGCTTTAAATACCCTGTATACTTCATGGCTTTAGTTTTAGAATTTATATTATGGCAAAAACGCAACACGAAAGGCAAAATTCTACGTACTTTATCAAAATTCGAAAATTTATTAAAGTCGATTAAGGGTATTCCCTCATCTACGATCGCAATAGTGAGTACCTTGACTTCAGGTAAGTTCTCAACTACTGTTTTTCTATTTAATTTAGGCCATTCTAATTCATTTTGTTTCAAATAACTAGGACCTGACCACCACAATTCCATGCTAGAAAGCTGGTTGCCATTGACTCCACGAGATATGAAATCAGCAGGATTGGAGTCAGATGGAACATAGTACCACGATTTGGGATTAGTTAATTCCAGTATTTCGTCTATTCTGTTAGCAACAAATTGCTTAAGCTTCATTGGATTACTGTTAATCCATCCCAACACCACACTCGATTCACACCAGTGAAACGTACGAGTCGGGAGCCCTCTTAATGAATCAAGGACACTTCTAGACAGCCTAGCAGCTATTAATGCAGCACAGAGTTCGAGACGAGGTATGGTGCACGGTTTAAGAGGTGCCACCTTTGACTTTGAGCATAATAACCTCACCGTAATCTCGTTGTCACAGCTCGTGGATCTCAAGTATACACAAGCACCATAAGCGCATTGCGAAGCGTCACTAAAGGTATGCAGCTCAAAAGATGTCGAAGACTCGCACAGCACCCTGCGGGGAATCTGAAGACTTGCAAGAAAAGGCAGGTTGTTGTAGATTTCAGACCACTTCTCCTTAAGATCTACAGGAATGGGTTCATCCCATCTAATTCCTTCTAGCCATAGCCTTTGGACTAACATTTTTGCTTGAATAATGCAGGGGCTCAAAAGACCGAGCGGGTCATAGATTTGAAATGAAAGCGACAGTATAATTCTTTTTGTGATGGTGCTTATATCGATGTCAGTATTAACCGTGATTGGAAAATTGAAAGTATCATTCACAGGGTCCCAACCAAGACCCAGGGTGTGCGAAGACTCACTTAACGTTAAAACATCTGCAGAACTCAAATCTGAATCTTCAAACAAAACCTTTGAATTTGTTTTAAATTTCCTCAAGGGGAAACATGCTGAATTTAGGGCGTTTGTTACTGAATTTAGTATGTGACGTAAATCTAGCTCATCATCACAGCCGGTGATCAAATCATCAACATAGAAATCCTTTTGTATGATATCTTTGATTTATTGTTCACCACACTCCTTTCCAACTTGGTTTAAACATCTAGTACTCAAGTAACTAGCGCTTGCAGTAGTACCATATGTTGTAGTATTGAGACGCCATGTTTTAATGGGCTCATTCTCATTTTCCCTCCACAAGATCAGTTGCAAGTCCCTGTCTTCTTCATTGACATTTATTTGACGGTACATTTTAGCTATGTCACCGGTCAAAAGAAATTTGTGTTCACGGGCTCTGACCAATATGGAAAAAAGCGACTGTTGGACGTTAGGGCCCACCATCAATATATCTTTTGATTATCAGTATTCTTCACAAAATGTTTTTCACATTCAATATCATTGTAGCCGAGAACTGTCTTTTGTGGCAGATCTTCGAGCTCCCTGAATTTTGTTATTAATTCATCAACTTTAAGTGTTTTATTTTGATTGATGCATGAGATGCATGATTGCAAAAAAACTTATTATGTCCCAATAAGTTAGTTGAACCAGCAACAATCCAACCGAATTTAGAACTTCGTAATTGTATTTTGTTATTTGGTCCCAAGTATTTTTGCTTACAGCCAAGACGCATTTTAAATGAAAACATGCTTTATTTAAGGTTATATACTGAAAGAAAATATTTTAAAAGAACAAAAATAGCAATAGTATTCTAGTAGCAATAGTCTTTTTTTTAAATCAAAATGTGTAATTAAAATTTTTTGAAGACTGACTTGAGCCCAAAGAACATCGTAATAAAACTACCTGAGCATTTTCTGTGGTTAAATGACGTATAAAAAATAAATTCAAAATAACTCCCAATAAAACTAGATAGATAAAAATATTCAAACAAGCATCACAAAAGAAGACATTTTTCTATCGGTTTACCCTTAAATATACGATATCAATTTTAGATAATCCAAAATTATGTTTAAATTAAAATCTCAAAATATTCATAGCAACAAAATTATTCTTCGAAAACGATAAACGCATAATATATTTTTTTTATTAAATTTGCTGAAACAACAACAAACAAACAAACAAACAAACAAACATCGACAAGGCTTAAAGTAGTACAATATTGAACTATTCATCATTATCACACACTATATGGCTGAAATCACAAAAAAGTATTATCAAAGGCAGTGTCATATATTTACTTATGGCACATTAAAATAATAATCTTGAATATAATATGAAATTATGTATGGTAAAGTAGTACTTAAGTATAAATCACAGACTGCTTTTCTAAAGTTAGGTACAAAAGTATTATCTAAGACAGTCTTATATTCAAGGCATAATTATAAAAATAAAATTCTTCAAAATATGCTAAGGCTTACGTACTTATTACAATTAAATTATTTATTATTAAATCACAGACTATAAGGCTAAAATCACAAATGTTATATTATTATCTAAGATAGTCTTATATTATTAAAATAATATTCTTCTAATTATCAAGCAGTACTAATTATACTACTTGATCACTGACTAAAAAATACTGTCATTAAGGCACATTTATAAATTTTGGTAAAAGCTCTGGTAATATTTTGGTATAATATCTTTCTCGATAAGTTTCAGTATACCTTGTTTTTTTACTTTTGATATTGTAAGTTTACGGTTGTACAACTTTTTGGGCACTATGTTGGAGTTAGAGGACTGAGACATTTGCTTGTTCAGCGTGGATACCGAGATGAATTCTTCGTTTTCGTATGAAATTTTGAATAAAAATTTGTGTTTATGTTCCCTATGTACTTTCAATATTTTTATATCTGACCATTTTACTTTTTGACCATCTACAGATGTGACAAAATTTCCATTCGCCAAACATTTTAAAGCTAAAAAGCTATCATGAGCAAGTTCATGAACCACTAAAGGTATACCTGTCTTTTTCGCTGTCTTAATAAGAGTAATGTACTGGTCCGGCACATAGATCGGAGATGATTTCAAAGCCATAGAAATATTTCTTTGAATTAATGAGTGAGCGGCATCCCCCTCGTTTTGGGTATGTCCCTTTATTAAAAATTTATTTGTTATACTCCTCAATTTGGGAAATACACGGACAGCATATCAATATATGTTGCAAGCATGAATTTGTTTTTTTGTTGGCCGCAACAATTATCGCTATAAAAAACTATGTCAATATCACCCGAAGCTTCATCATTCAATCGTTTCAAATACATAAGCACACATGACCCGAGTTCGTTCACACCTCGACCTACTTCCCCTTAATGCCATACAAAACAGTCTGTTACATTTGTTCCTAATTTAGTGATTGTAAAATTGAGTGAATTTAATTTCGAAATATAATAAAAGCTAGAAACTTCACCTCGTGGACAAGGCATGACCGCTTGTAGATCATAGACACACACTACAAAGTCATCATTTATATTTTGTTTATCTCTCTCCTTCTCAGCTGTAGCAAGAGATTTTTCTGTCAAATGCAAGTCATACTTTTCTTGCATAAGTGATTTATCAATTGCATTTTTAAAGGCTGTGCAATCTTCGCGTTGATCTTTCTTAGGTTTCCAAAATGAAATATTGAATTCCTCGACAAATATGTTATAATATATTTTATATGAAACATAAAGCTTATTTTCTTCTTTGCACTTGTCAACGTAAAGGCGATGCAAAGTAGCAACAGTCATGTTTCCCTCAATAAATTCACGTTTTGTACGAGCACGGCAATAATGGCTCTCCACTCTTGGGATAGAATTGATATGTGCTTTGACACCATCCTTCAAAGAGGCCTCTAATCGGAACTGGTTTCCGTGTTTCCCTCGATTTTCTTGCATTAACCCTACTTGTTCAGAATTCTTCTTGACAACAGTTCTTATAGTTTTATCGGAAACAGCAAGTGTATTCATAAAAAATACTTTACACACTCGAAGACGTCTATTATTTTTATGGAAAAAATACGCATGGTTAAAATTTTGACGAGTGCTACCAACACGGATATAACGATATTTAGGTTCAATTTTTGTCATACAGTCTTTAATGAAATGTCTCTGAGCTGTCAAGTCACCCATCTTCCAATAGTTATCAAATATAGCACACTTTTCTGTCAATGAAAACTGGTTAGCACATTTTAATTTGCATTTATCTGAACATACAGGTCCAATTTTCTTGGCTTCTATTTGTTTTTTTGATTTGGACATGGTAATATATGCCTGTCCGCTGTTTTTAAGTGCCTTAGATTTATTTTTCTTCCAGGATTCAGGGTTACACTTTCTTTTTCGGGATGGCAGCTGTGGTTCCACACTCGAAACTGTGACTAGACTGTCTACACTAGAGGGCTGGATGTTAATACTGGGTGGTTGTGATTGTTCAGTCTGTAAAACGGGTGACTCGATGTTTGTGTTTGATGGCTGCATTTCCACTTCATTAGGATCATCTTCTGCCCAGGAAGGTCCAGGTTGGGGTGAGAAAAATTGGTAGTTAATACGTTTTTTCTGTATGTTTCTCTCAGGTAGAAATTCAGAATCCTTAACACTATCGTCCGAGGGAAAGTCGGATGAACTTGATGACGTAGAACTAATCGTGTTACTATCAGATTTGCTGTCAGATGAGTCGCGGTCAGATGAGTTACGGTCAGATGAGTCGCTAGGTGGAACGATTTTTATTGATTTTGTACGAGTTTTCAGTCCAAAACGCTTTTCATCATCACCTAAACCCGATAAATCGAAATAAAGCTAGCTGTCAGGATAGGAATCCGTATCAGAATTGTAATTGGCAATATCTTCTTCTTGTCCAACGACGAGTGATGGTATTTGAGTTTGCTGAGTGTTGTCGAGAAACAAAGATTGTTTTTCTTGAGTTCGGATAGCAGGTGATAGTATGACCTCAGTTTCATCATCAATTGGCATCAGATTGTTAGAATTAGACTGACTGAGTGGATGGTATTTCGCATCAAAATATGGCTTACCCGTTATTACGTCTTCATGAACTACTTCTGGAACATCACATTCTTGAATTTTAGAGTTGTTATTGGGACGGTTTTGTATCCTATCCGATTCTTCATTTGTATTATTTACTGCCATTTTCAAAAATTTTCTCGTTCTGCTAATTATTCTGTAAATAACAATGCAATATTACTCACAATATAATGTGCACCTTGCATAAATATTGTCAATTTAGGCTGAAAAAATCTTAAATATCCAGATTAGCTGTACATGGGTGTAATTTATCTATATAATGTATGTATTTAGAAAGAAATAATATGTGTATGTATTTTTATCAGTTATCTAGTACCTATAACACAAGCTTTAATTGCTTACTTTGGGAGTAGATGGCGCTGTGTGTACGTGGTGAAATATTTATTTGTTTATTATTTAGTTCAAAAAGTACACATTTGTAAATAGTCACATTGTTTTATTTCATATTGGAAAGCAAAATGTACAGATATCGAAATATTGCTATGTTTTATTTCACATTAGAATGCAAAATGTACAGATTTTGAAGTACGGCTGTATTTTATTTCATATTGGAAAGCAAAATGTACAGATTTCGAAAAAAGGCTTTGTTTTATTTCATATTAGAATGCAGAATATACGTATTCCAAAATAAGACACTGTAGCATTAATAATTCTGAATGTACTTACTTGAAATTTGAATGCAATACGGACGTATTCCAAAATGTGGCCTCTTTGCACAGAACACTAGATTTCGTATTGGGTATTTTTGCGAAATGTGGCCGTTTTGTACGAAACCGACGTGCGTTCGCTTTGAGTTCTGGGTCGCAACTGACAAAATGGCGGTTTTGATTTGACCTTCGCGCGTAAGTCAGCTTAATGCCAAAACGGCGGGTGGTCAGTTTAGCATCAAAATGAGCGAAAACGACGGGTGTCTTCTGCAAAACGTAAAATACTATACTTAAGAACACTAATTTTGCAATAAAACAATTTTCGAAAAATTTTGATTTGTGACCGTTTTGCATTCAATGAGCGATATATTTACAAGAATTAAAGTATTTACAATACAAAAAAAATAGGGGTATGGTATGTGTGTGAAGTGTGGGGTGTGAAGTGGAAATGGTGAAGTGGGCGTGGTGGGGTCGTCGGCGATCTTCTCCGTTGAGGCTTGAGGGTCTGGAGGACGTGCTGCTGGCAGACGGGCGGCACTCCTGGGAGGCAGAAGCGCTCCTGTTCCGGCGTCTCTCGAAACTTGAACTGCCCTGGTGGTAGCTGGCGGGCGCTGCTGGTAGGTTGGCCGGCGGATATCGGCCGGTGGCAGGAGATGGTGGAACGGCAGGTATCGGTGGAAGGCGGGCCGAAGCAGTTAAAGGCTGGCCGAGGCAGCTGGAGTCCGGGCGGCAGTCCCGGCGATGAGGTTGCGAGTATGGTGAAGATGACGAGAAGAGTAGTTTAGAGTTTTTTTTTAAATAACTGAGTTTTTCGCTAGTGAATTGGTACGCAATAGATGTAAACTGATTAATAAAATAAAAAGAAAACTGGGTTTGAATGTTAATCCTAGTAGTTTAGAGTTAGTTTTTTAGTTGTTTACAAAGCCAATAGGTGCCAATAGCTTTGAGGTCTTTCTTGAGTCCCGGGGCAGTCGGCCCCGGGCCAAGGCCTTTTATTAATTTAGAGCTAACAAAAGTTATAATGGCAACTTTTGCCGAAGAAATGAATGAAAGATCAGGGACGCTCGGCCTTTTATGGGACCTGAACCATTTAAATTTAGACTCGGTTCGAATCCTACTAAAAAGAATAAAAGTAGGTGGTCTGTGGAGGTTGAATAGGCATAGACGTAGTTGCAGAGAGTATCCGTGTCATGGGTAGCCATGGCAACGGATAAAAAACATTAAAGTGTCACAAATGTCAAGAAAATGAAGAAAATAATTTATGCCTAAAAATCAGAAAAATCAAACAAGAAAGTGGCTTATTGTTGAAAAACAGATTGCCATGAAGCAGACATCATAAAAATAAACTAAAGATTTTACAAAGTTTGAGCAAGGCTACAAACTTTTGGTAAAAACTTAATATTCACGGGTCGTATTAACCAAACGAGGCTTTGTGGTGTGCGAGTCGATATTCGCTTTTGACTTGATATTTGCTTTGTTGGCACGCAATCTGTGTACCGTGCGTAATCTGAGATGCCTCAGACGTCATTTTGACCAAGATGCAGTTTACCTGTCATGAAAGATGCCACTACGGCAATATTAGGTACATAAAACGCTAATCGTCGCAAGTCTACAATGTCTCGTAACTATAATGTTTGATGACAAACGTCAATTTGAAAATCTTTAAATTAAAAAAATAAAGACACTGTATTTTAAAATACTCTTTTAATTTATGAATTAAAATTTGTTTTTCTTTTTAATTCTTTCAATACGTTTAAGAAATTCAAATGGAGTTAATGTTTGTTCATTTAAAAGATAAATAAACTTGTGCATTAAGCATTGAAGATACAAAGTGCAGTGAGTGTAGGTATTTCGATTTGTACACGATATAACATTTAGGCGATAGCGCATATGCATGTAATTCAAATAAGTATCATTTTATTCTTATATAAGGTCCTTACATATGAAAGTACGGTCCTCCCGTACAAAACGCCAATATATAGGGTAATGGCACCAGTGGTCAGCCTCATAACGACTTTTTGAAGTTTGGAAAGCTGGCATTTTTACAGGATTCGTCGGATAATAAAACCTAGTACATGATTGGATTAATCGTATATTATAGTTTTAGAATAACATATGTTATAAACAATCTTTCTCTTTATAAAATATATATTTAAATTCAAACAAAAAACGGCACCTTTTGCCAGTGGTCAGCCTCTAAAATCCAATAATCAGCCTCGATGAACCCAGTATTCAGCCCTTATAACTATTAATAAGCATGAGATCAAAATGAGCATTATTTATATCAAAATCAACGATATTATTTAGTTCTCTCTTATTATTTATAGCTAAAATATTAAAACAAAAAAAAATCTCACCTGACCGAAATATTATTGAGAGCAAACAGTCATAGAACTTATTTGTGTTCTTATTTTTTGGAACTTCATCATAAAAACATCAGTAGACCAGACCATTTATGGTCTATTTATATAAAGTATATATGCATTTTTGTATATTATGTCAATATTCCTCTCAGGTTTAATACACATAACATGAAAGAGATAAAGGTCACTAGCAAATCTACTAATAGTACCTACTTTGTAAAAACTATTCTTACAATCAAATAATTACAGTCCTAATCTTCCTATTTTTATATATCTCAACTCTCTTATATATCAACAAACATATATATCTCATACTCATATTTATCTAATCACCCGAACTGCTACGTATGGCTTCCATGGTGGAAGAGAGTTTCTCTGGAAGATATGTTTATCTTGACGGAATTTTGGGCTGAAAAATATACAGAATTATTTATCAAATTTTTATTTACATAGGGTACCTTCTCAATTAGTGAAATACAAACTACCTTAATAAATTTTATAACTATTTCAGGTAAAAATAAAATGTAGTCTACCGACGTTCTTAAAAATACTACCTAAATGGGTACAATCGAAGACACTGTTAACTGTACATTTACAAAAGAACATAAACCTTGTCGCAACGCACTAAAGTCTATGGGTGGTTAACAGTATCTTCTTTTGCTAGATCGGGGCTGAATACTGGATTTTAAAAATAATTCAAGAATCCAGTGATCAGCCCCGGGGGGCCGGCCATTGGATATTTTATAAAAAAGTAGTATCCAATGGTCAGCCCCCACAATATTTACGTAAATCAGCAATATTTTTATTCAAATTTAATATAATTCAATACATGAAGTAATAAATAAAGCCAAATTTCATAAAAGACTATCACATTTCATAATTAAACATGTGTTTTCTTACCTTTAAAGAGAACACCACGCGAAGTAAAAAATATGGCGGACATGACAATACTGCGCTTTTCAACCGCCGTCACCTGTATGAACGAGTATATTTCTTCCCCCTGATCCCCCGCCGCATCTATCGTGTGACATATTAACCAATGAGGAATCAAAGTTTCTATTAAAGTACACGTTCTTTATTTATTCTAATTGTAGCGATATTTATGACTAATAAACGACGCAAAGGGCTGTCCACTGGTTCCTGGCTGACCACTGGTGCCTTTACCCTATAAATTCATTTTTATTTGTAAAATCATCATCATCATCAACAGCCTATCATAGTCCACTGCTGGACATAGGCCTCTCCAAATGCACGCCACTCAGATCGATTGATACTCGCATCCGGCTCCTGCCATCCACCTTGCGCAAATCGTCACTCCATCGTGCCTGAGGACGTCCTACACTACGTTTGCCTAGACGCGGTCTCCACTCCAGAACTCGTCTACCCCAACGGTTATCGGTTCTTCGGCAAATATGGCCAGCCCATTGCCACTTCAACTTGCTAATCCGGTGGGCTATGTCGATAATTCTGGTTCTCTGTCGGATTACCTCATTTCTTAGCATAGCCCTTTCCATAGCGCGCTGAGCGACTTTGAACCTGTGGACCAGCCGTGCCGTCAGTGTCCACGTCTCCGTATGTCATCACAGGTAGGACGCACTGATTAAAGACTTTCGTCTTTAGGCACTGTGGGATCGACGATGTCAGGACTTGACGTAGCTTCCCAAACGCTGCCCAACCTAGCTGAACTCTTCTATTCACCTCGTCCTCAAAGTTGTTTCTACCTAACTGCAATGTCTGCCCTAGGTATACATATTTTTGAACAACTTCGAGAACGGCACCGTGTATTGCAATCGGTTCCGGTAGAACATGTTCATTGAACATGACCTTGGTTTTATCCAAGTTCATCCGTAGGCCGATGCGTATAGAAGAGTCAGCCAGGTCATTCAGCATCTGTTGTAGGTCCTGCAGGGTTTCTGCCATGATGACGATGTCGTCTGCAAATCGCAAGTGAGAGATGCGTTCGCCATTTATGTTGATGCCATGTCCTTTCCAGTTCAGCGTCTTGAACATATCCTCCATTGCATTAGTGAACAATTTCGGGGAAATAACGTCCCCTTGTCTCACTCCACGATGCAACGGTATGGGACTTGTTTGC